TTAGCTTAAATCTAGGCAAACACCCCACAATAGAAAATAAATAAATCCAATGCTCGGTTATTTATGAATTTAATAAATCCGAGTATGAGGTGAGTTTATTTCATTGTTGATGGGACTAAAAACTAAGGGTGATTAAGCACTCGTGTGAATACTATGCTATCCATGATTTTGAGATGATTAAAATAGACACAACTCAATTGCTATGTATTTACATATCTAAGACCTAAATTCTATTTTTTATATTTATACCACCCAGTGCTTTCATATCACATCAAAATATCATTATTTTTAAAAAGTGGTTGTGACATATATGAGAATGTTGTTAGTAGAATTCAAGTTGGATGGATAAAGTGGAGGAATGCAGCGGTCTTATTGTGTGATAAGGCAATACTAGACACGAAGGAAAATTTTATATGATGGTGTTGAGACCTACAATGCTTTATGACGCAGAAGGTTGGCCCTTAAAACAGAAGCATAAAAGTAAGTTAGGTGGCTTGAAACTTAAAATGCGAAAGGAATGTAGCTGTGAAAGTGTTGGTGTAGCTTCAGTGGGAGACAGAGATTAGATAGAGTCATCATAGATAGTTTTGTCACATTAAACTTCGACCATCTGATTAAGAGAGTAGATGTTTTAGGTTTGACTTATGTTAAAAAAGCAGAGGTAAACCTCAAACTGTTAGCTGGAGCCCGATCCCGATCCCGCCTTCCTATTTCCAATCGCGAAATGTCACGACCGCGACCTTACAGTTTCGGGAACTACTCCCACCTAAAATTTGTGAAATGACGCCTTTTGCTTATTTAAGTTACGAACAGTACCTTCCTCCGAATAGTCTTCTGCGATCAACAAGTACAGGCGAGAGATTCGAGAGGGCATCGACGTGTTTTGCATAAAAGGAAGAAAGGAAATAGCAAGGCCCTTTTGTGTTTTTCTTCGGGCTTCCTCGGGATAGAGGAAGAGAAGTGCAAGCAGTAGTTACTTGCGGCAGAAAGAAGAAGAAGAAGAATGTTCTCCTTTGGCTTCTCCTTCGTGGCTTGGGGCAGAAGAGAAATTGGGTTTATTTCTCTTATAAGTTTATCTTCTTCAATGTATCTAGATGTGGAGAGAGAAGAAGAAAGAGCAAGAAAGAGTTCGCTCTTGTAAGTCGAGACGATCGATTTGTGTAAATTTCTCAAGTAGTAAAATCCTCTGTAACTCCGTAGACGTAGACAAATTTCCGAACCACATAAATCTAAGTTTTCCGTTGTGTTACCGTTTTCTGGTGTAAATTTTTTCGTTCTATTTTTCACTTCGTCGTCGATCGCTCTTCTATTTTATATATATACCACAACAAAAACAACTTGGGGCATCTTATATAAAAAATGATCTTAATTTATTAGAATTAAATGAAAATATAATACTCAATAGGACATAATGAAGAAAAAAAGTATTCGCGTAGCCGACCCCAATTAGTGGGATAAAGGTTTGTTGTTGTTGTTGAGTCTCTTCATGAGTCTTGTTATATTTTTTTTTATATAAAAAACTAGGTCTAATCATTATTTTCAATAATAATAATAATAATAATAATAATAATAATAATAATAATAATAATAATAATGAGTAAAAATTAATATTATTACTTTCTAAGCGAAAAAACAGCTGCGCGATTTACTTTAATGATACAGTACAAAGAGGAAGGCCCGGCCCACTTGACGCCCATCCGGCCCGCTAACTGGCGGCTGGTGCTGCATAACTCAGATCCCGAACCTATAAATAGGAGTGCACAGCCGCGGAAAGCGCTTCCGACACAAAGCCATCAGTAATCAGCGAATCGCTTATCCATCTCAAGTAAGTAAACCCT